GCGCGGCCCCCGCCGTGGCAGCAACAAGCCTGTGGATCTTATTTTATATTTATTTATTAAAACATTTTTATGCCACCCCATTCGCCGAAGCCTCGGGGCAGCTTACAACAATAAATTAAAATAACATTTTAAAATATATACGTTAAAATACAAATATACGATATAAAACATACAATATAAAACAAGCCGCCCTGGCTAGATAAAAATCTTGCCAGGGGGAGCCTCGGGCAGTGCCAGCGAACAGGTTGCCCTGCTGCAGAGCGCGCCCCCCGAACTCGATCCTCCCAGACCGCCTGCACCTCGCGTGGGTGCCCCGGGTGCCCGGCCTCCCCGGCGCCTCGTCCTCTTTCTCTCCCGGTGACGCTCTGTGTCAGGCTGCGGGCGCCCTGGTCCCTCTGGACCGTTGAGGGAAGCGGGCGCCCGCGGGCTGGAAGAGCCTCCCGGCGGCGCTGCAAGGATTCCCTCCCTCCCGGCGTGGGGGCGGCGTGCGGAGGGCAGCGCTCGGCCGGCACTGCCTGGCACTGCTGCAAGTGTGCGCGTGCGCTTGCGCACATGCGCGGAGAGCAAGGAGGCGACCCGCTGCGTGCAGAAGGCCCGGCTGCACCTGCCGCCCCAGGCGCTTCTCCTGCCGCGGTTCCGGTGCAGATTGTGCTCCTGCTTTGAACACGGAGCCATGGAAACTTGGCCAGCCTGGTGGGGGGGGCTGCGGGGACAGGATTCTTCTCCGTTTGGCGGAAGGCGCTGCTCGCGCTGCGTTTTCCTCTCCGAGCTGGGGCCTCTGCTGAGGCAGGATTGCGGGAGTGAGGAGGGGGCTGCTCAGCGAACTCGGGTGCCAGGCTGGGCGAGGAAGCCAGGCAGGGGAGTGGAGGAGGGCAGCCCCCGTCCCGCCTCTGCCCACCCGCTTGGTTCCAGGCAGACTTTGACGGCCCCCCCGGGCGCTCCTGGAAGCCGCTCGTCACCAGCGCCAGATGCTCCAGGGCGAGCCTCTGAGCGGGGGGCCGAGAAATGGCCGGACACGGCGAAGCCCAGCACGGCAGCTCCCCCGCAGGCAGCTCCCCTCCCCAAACCCTCCCTGCTGCCCCGTGGGAGAGCCGGCGGAGAGCGCCCCTTTCCAAGCCGGCCTTTGGCGGCGTTCCTCGGCGGAGGCGCCTGAGCGGCCTGGCAGTGGGCTCGCCTGGGTCGGCGGCTGGCTGCAAACCAAACGCCGTCCGCGGGAACGAGTGGAAGGCCTGGCTGTGGACGCGGCTGCCCAGTGTGGCCGGGCAGCAGGAGCGAGTGGGCAGGCGGCCGAGCACGCCAATGACACTGGCTCCGTCGGGCAGGCAAGACAAGGGGTTTGCGAAGCGCTCCAGAAGCGTCTCCGCAGGTTCGCACAGGCAGGGATAAAGGGAGACGCGCCGAAACAGCAAGCAAAAGGCGGCCCAGAGTCACGTAAACGGTGACGGAAACCGAGATCGCACTGGCTGACTGGGAAGGGGGTCTTGGACACGGGTGTGCCAGGCAGTGTTTGGATGCGGAAGCTGTGGCTGCCGCGCATCGCCTCGCCCGGAGCTGGGCGCCAGAGCGGCGCGGCGGGAGCAATCCTCACTCGCTCCGAGAACGGCCCGTGCGCTCCGCGAGTGAGCATCCGGAGACGCATGGCCCCCGGTCACACGCGGTCCTGCATCCGGCTGTTCAGAGCCCCGTGGCCCAGCTGTGGGCTCCACGGTACAAGAAAGGCAGGCACCCTGGAGGAAGGTTGGGGGGGGGGGGCAGCAGGGATGATCCGGGGACTGGAGACGGAGCCCTGCGAGAGATGGGAAAACCGGGCATTTCAGCTCTGGAAGAGGCGCCTGAGGAGAGACGGCGTGCCGGGGGCTCGTTCTCTCCCGTCACAAAGCGCCCGGCCAGGCCCTCCCCTTCATCGCTCCAGAGCGCAGGGCACGGCGTGACGGCCTCGAGCTCCCGGAAGCCGGATTCCGGCTGACCGCCAGGAGGAGCTTCCTGACGGAGCCGGCCACCGAGGGCGCCAGTGACTGGGGGAAGCCGTGGGCTCTCCCACACCGGAGGCGTTCGGGGGGCAGCCAGAGAGCCCCCCGCCCGGGAAGGTGCAGCTGGCAGCCCTGCGGGGGACCCGGTGGCCGCGCAGGCCCCACTCGGCCCTTCTGTGCCTGGGCTCGGGTGACGCCACATGGCCCGGCACGGATATTCAAGCCGGCACGTGGCGCGGGTGCGAGCGGCACTCCAACCAGGCTGCGGCTGCCCCCTGCTTTCCCCACTGGGCTCCGCCAGGAAAGCGACCGAGGAGGTGGCTGTCGGGATGGTGCTCCCCGCTGCCCCCAGGGAGGGACTGTGCCACGTCAGAGCGGGCGGAGAGGCAGCCGGCGTGGGGGCTCCGCCAGAGGGAGCGGCCACGCCGAGCGGGCCCTCGCTGCCCGGGGCACGGCTTCTCCGGGGGCCCGTTGGCCCGCAGAGGTGGGATGGCTCCGGCCCGAGTGGGCGCGAGCTGCTTCGGGGGGCCGGGCTTGGCCCGTGCTGCCGTCCCCCCCCAGAGTGCCCGGGGGGCGGGGCGCGAGTGCGGAGGCGGGTCATGGCTGGCCGGGTGCCGAGCGCGTCCTGAAGCCTTGGAGGAGTGACTTGTTCCGTAGGGTTCGATCCCAGCTTTCCCCTTTTTCAAAGAACACAGAGCAGCGTGCATCATTCGTCTCCTCCTGCTCTCCATCTTCTCCCCACAACAACAGCCCTGCAGGGTAAGCTGGGCCGAGAGTGACAGCCCCCACGTCACCCAGCTGCTCCAGGCTGAGCGAGGACTCGAACTCGGGTCGCCCACGTCCCCATCCACGCGCTTCACCCCTGCCCCACAGCGGCTCACGTGGGATGGGCCCTTGGCAGCCAGGGAAGGCCTGCGCTCGCCTCCACTGCACGCATCTGTCTGTCCAGGCCGGCCGGCCGACGTCATGGCGGGCGCGTGAGCCGTCCTGACAGCTGGCTCCCCCGCTCTCCCCGGCCCGCTGGGCCAGAGCCTCGGCGGGCCGATGTTTCTCCGGCGTGCGAGAGTTTCTCGCAGCCGTGCTTCCGCGAGCGGCCGCCTGCAGGCCTGGGAGACGTCCCTTCCTCCCGGGATCCATGCCGTCCTGGGCAGCAACGAAAAAGGGCGCTGGAAGGCTGTTGTTTCTCGCGGGGGCCGAGGGCGTCCCCGGAGCGGCCCGAGACCCGTGCCTCGCCGGCCGTGGGGCTGGGAGGGTGGTGCGACACGGCCCGTGGCTCGGGTCTGGCTTGCGTCGCCTCGCTGCTGGCAGAGCAGCACAGGCGCCTCCGCACGGGGGGAGCCCCTGGGTGGCCCCCGCAGCCTCCCGGGCCCTCCGCTCCGTCCTCCGCCCCTGCCGGCTCCCGTGGCTGACGAGGGAGTCAGCTGGCCCAGCGGGCTGAGCACGCACAGTGGGGGCCTGTGTCCAGGGCTGCCGCGTGGGCCGGCCGGCCCGGCGCTCTTGTTGACTCGGGGCCGTCTCCGTGCCACCCTGAGCCAGGCCGCGGCTTCTCTGCCCAGCCCAGCCCAGCCCAGCCCAGCAGGGCTCTTCCGCAGCTGCACGCGGGACGGAGAGCGCGCCCGGCTGGGCCCCACCTGGCCCCCTGCCGTTGCCCGTGGGTGGGCGGGGGCTCGCCTGGAAGGGGCCTCCATCGGGCCACCCCGGCGGAGGGGCACGGACTGGTGTGGCCCCGCGAGGGAGCCGCAGGTGGGGGTGGCGGGCCGGCTCCCTGGCTGCCGCCCGGTGTCGCGGCGTGCGCAGCCCTGCCAGCGGAAGCCCCCGCAAGGCCCCCTCCCAACAGCCCTGCTCCCCTGGAAAGCCAGGGCTGCGCCTCCTTCCTGGAGCAGGACCGCTGCACGTTGGACTCTCCACGGCATGATGGCGCCTCCAGGGCACCAGGCCTCCCCACAGTGCCCCCCCACCAAGGAGGGCCACCCTGCCTTGCCGAAGGGAGCGCTGGCTCGATGGCTCCGTGGCTGGTTGCCCTCCCAGGCGAGGTCGTGCCACCGCCTTCCCCCTCCCAGCACCAGGGGAGCGTGGCCTGCCCAGAGCGGATGGGGCCGGGCGCTGTTCCCGGACGGCCCTCCCATTCCCGCCCCAAGTGCAGCAGGAGGGTCTCCCGGTGTCCAGACCAGGGCGCCCCCCGGCCCTTCCTCGCTGTGAGGGGTAGGGCCCCCTGCTTCCACATGCTGGCCGGGCACCAGGCCGCCGCCTCCCCCCCCAGGCATCTTCCTGGCGAGAGTCTGTCCGGCCCCACAAGTGTGGAGCCCCTCCCCGGGCAGGGCACTCCCGCCAGGCCAGCCACGGTGCTCGGGGGCCGCGGTGGACTGGGAGTGGCAGGCCTGCGCGTGAGGCCGCCGGAGCCAGGCTGCCCGGGGCTGTTCCGGCAGAGACCCGAATGCTTCTGAGCCAGAGCTGCCAGGGGTCCGCTCGCCGGGTCGCCCCCAGGCTGGGCCTCCTGCCCTGGCGAGGGGAGTGCAGGGCAGCTGCTCCCGAGCTGCAGCGACCTGGCTGGCGGGGGCTGCGCACGTGGGCCTTCTGGCGGACCTGGGGGTACACGGAGCCTCCCTGAGCGCCCCACGGTTTTATTTCTCCCGGGAGATCCCCGCGCGAGGGCAGAGGCCTCGTGCTCGCGGCTCCCCGTCTTGCACGGGGCAACGGCGCTCCGGCTTGGGTGCGGCATGGTCCCCGCAGCGCCGGCGTGTGCTCTTGCCCCTCGGTTTCCGGGCGGAGGGGCTCTGGGGGGAGCAGGGAGCACTTCGTGGGCCGGGCAGACATGAACCGGGCCGCCACGGCCCGCCGTCTGGGGGCCTTTGGACAGGCCTCGACCCGTCTTCCAGCCGGGACCCGAAGGGGCTCCCCGGCCCCGCTTGCGTTGTCCAGCCCAGCTCTTGGCGGTGTGGCGAAGCACTGGGAGCTCCTGCAGCGGGGGGAGGCGGCTCCCGCAGGGACGGGCGGTGGCGCTCGGGGCCGTCATCCCCTCTCCCTCCGCAGACCTGTCCCGGAACCGCTTTGCGGAGCTGCCCGAGGACACCTGCCACCTGATGTCCTTGGAAGGGCTGAGCCTGTACCACAACTGCCTGCGCAGCATCCCCCCGGCCATCGCCAACCTCCAGGCCCTCACCTACCTGAACCTCAGGTCAGCTGCGGGAAGGACGGGGCGGGCTCTGCCGGCCCCCGGGAGGCGAGGGCGGCCTGCTGGAGGGGGCGGAGGGCCTGGGCCACCCGGGGCCCCCTGCCTCACGCCACCCCTTCCTCCCCAGCCGGAACCAGCTGGTCTCCCTGCCCGCCTGCCTCTGCCTCCTGCCCCTGAAGGTGCTGCTCGCCAGCAGCAACAAGCTGGCCGCCTTGCCGGACGAGATCGGCTCCCTCGGCAGCCTGCGCCAGCTGGTGAGTGCACGGGGGAGTGCTCGGGGGGGGGGCACCAAGCCAAGCCAGTTGGAGACTGGGGGGGGCACGTGGGAAGAACTCGCAGAGCCCCTCCAAGCTGCAGCCCCCCCATCTGGCCAGGTCGCCCGGCCCCCAGTCAGGCTACATCGCACACGGCCCGCCTTGCCCCAAACAGGGCAGCTGCCAGCGTTGTGTGGGAGCGAGCCCCCCCCGCCCCCCCGGAAGGAGGCCCCGAGCAGGACTGCTGCTGCCTGCAGCGGGGACGGGGCAGCGCCAGCGCCGCGTGGGCCGGGGTCCCTCGAGCCGCCCTTCCCGCCGGGGGCCGGGCAGGGCCGCCTCGAGCCGAGCCCGGGAGGCAGTCGGGGATGGCGCCTGCGGGCGACCTGGCTGAGCCCCGCAGGGGCCCCGGCCGTGCCCTGGGGCGGGTTGGGGCCGCGGGGGGTCTGGCTCACTCGGCCCTCGCACGCTCTCTGGGCAGGACGTCAGCAGCAACGAGCTGCACTCGCTCCCCGCCACGCTGGGGGGCCTGGAGTCTCTCCGCGACCTCAACGTGCGCCGGAACCACCTCAGCCGCCTCCCGGAAGGTCAGTGCCTGCCGGGCCCTTTCGCCACCCGCGCCCCCGGGGGGCTCCCGCTCGGGCCCCCTGTGCCTCCCGTGGGGCGCCCGCCCCGCTCGCGGCCCCCTCACCCGGCATCCCTGCCCCTCAGAGCTGGCCGAGCTGCCGCTGGTGCGGCTGGACTTCTCCTGCAACCGCGTCGCCTGCATTCCCGTCTGCTTCCGCCGCCTGCGGCACCTGCAGTGCCTCCTGCTGGAGAACAACCCCCTGCAGTCGCCACCTGCGCAGGTACAGTGCTGGCGAGCGGCAGTGGCGGGGCGCCGGCGGGCAGGAGGCCCCGGCAGCCCACCCTCGTCCGACACGCCTGCCCCTGCCCCGCACCTCCACCCCCTGCCGCCTGGCCCCACGTGCTCTGGGGATGTGGGGCCGGCGCCGGCAGCTCTGCAGCGGGGCGGGCAGCCGCGAGGCCGGCGGGCACGCCCGGGCGGGGGGGGCTTCCCTTGGCCCTGGCCCCGGGCAGGGCGGGGGCGCGAGCGGGCCTCCCTGGGGCGATGCGCTGCTCCTGCAGGGGGCTCGCTCGTTCGGGGGAGGGGTTCAGGGCTTGCCCCCTCCCTTTCCTGCAGGTCTGCCTGAAGGGCAAGATCCACATCTTCAAATACCTCAACATCCAAGCCTGTGGCAAGGCCAGGGCCGACCTGGCCGAGTTGGCGCGAGGAAGCCGCCCCGCCGGCCTCGGAATGTGGTAAGGCAGAGGGGCCGGGCCGGGCCGGGCTGGAGAGGAGCCGGCCCCGGGGCAGGGAGTGTGGGGCGCATGGCACCGTGCCCCCCCCGCACGACTCACTGCCACCCCCCCTCCGCCTCTCGCCCCCCCACAGCCTCCCGGAGGACTTCTACTCGGTGCGGCCGTACGGCGGCCTCGACTCGGGCTTCAACAGCGTCGACAGTGGAAGCAAACGGTGGTCGGGGAACGAGGTACGCAAGGCCACGCTCTGGCTGCGCGACAGGGCTGGCGCCTCTGATGGGGGCTGCCCGGGACTCAGGCCCGGCTCAGCGGTCAGTCCAAGGGGCCAGCGGGACCCCCCTGAGGCCGCCCCTTCCTCTCGCCCCCACAGTCCACGGATGAGTTCTCCGACCTCTCCTTCCGCATCGCGGAGCTCTCCCGGGACCCCCGGCAACTCAAGCAGAGGCACGGCGGGGCAGGTGGGTAGCCAGCTTGGCTCGGGGCAGGGCAGCCGGGCCGGCTCGGCTGCCGTTCGGCACTTCCGGCGAGAACTGCCCAGCGGGGTGGGGGTCAAAAGAGGGACGCCCCCAGTAAGCCGTTTCCTCCCAAAGCCGGTGCTGGCGACCTGGAGCAGATGGACTATATCGACAGCAGCCTCAACAAGGAGGAGGAGGAAGAGGAGGAGGAAGAGGAGGAGGAGGAGGAGGGCAGCCCAGCGGCCTCGGTGCTGGCCACGGGCAGGCTGGAGGGTGTCCTGCGGGGGGCGGCACCCACCAAGGTGAGTGGGACTCGGGCGGCTTCATCCGCTGGCCTCTCCTGGCCCCTGCGGGTGCAGCGTGCAAGGACTGGCCGTGGGGCGGGCAGAGCCCCCCGAGGGGCTGGCACGGGGCAGAGGCTTTGGATGGCCGGGGGGGCAGGGAGGGAGCCCGCCAATGCCGCAGGCCAACCTCCACACGAAGCGCTCAGGGCCCCATTTCGGGGCGGCTGTGGCCCCGAGCCAAAGGAGGTGGCGGGGGGTCCTGCCAGGGACGACGGCCAGCCCCAAGGAGGGCGAAGGACCGGCCCCGGGGTGGGCGCAGGAGGAAGGCCCCGCCTCGCCTCGCCTCGCCCCGCCACCCTGGGGGCTGCGGCCCGCTCGGCTCGGGGCGGGTGGCGAGCGGGGGCGCGAGGAGCCGGCCGTCCGGACACTCGGCCCTGCGGCCTCCTCCTCCCGGGACCCTGACGCCTCTCTTCCAGGCGGCTGCGAGGAGCTCCTTCCGGAGAGCGGGCGCTGCAGAGCCGCATCGGCCGAGCAGGTGCGGAGCGGCCCCGGGCGGCCCCACAGCTCCCCAGAGAGGCTGTTCCCCTTTGTGGGCCAGAAAGGGGGGCAGGAAGCGGGCCCTGAACCTCCCTCCCCTCCCCTCCCCTCCCCTCCCTGAATGCCCTGGGAGAACTGCTGTGCTGGAGGGCACTGGGGCAGGTGGGCTTTGCCTCCTGCGGAGGGAGGGGCTGCTCGCTCGAGGCCCCGGGGCGTTCGTAGCCCCGCCGCCCCCGCAGCCGGGCGGGCTTGCCGTCGGCTGCTCTGCCAGCCCAGCCACGGCACACCCCAGTCCCCCCCCCCGGCTCTGACCGGGACTCTCGGGTGCCCGCAGGGCCAGCGGAGAGGCCAGCCTGCCCCGGCCGGAGCCGGCCGGCGAGGAGCGCCGCCACCCCGAGGTGCTGCAGCTGTGGCAGGAGCGGGAGCGCCAGCAGCTGCAGGCGCAGCTGCGCCCCCTGTGGAGCCAGGGCAGCGAGGCGCGGGACAGGTACTGCCCCCGGGGGGAGCCCGCTCCCGGGGGGCCATCGCGGGGGGACTTCTCCAGGGGCCTCCCTGCTTGCCAAGCCCCGTGAGCCAGTCCCCCCAAGAGCCCTGTGAGGCGGGCCGCTCGCTTCACTGACGCAGGGCGAGGAGCAAGCAGGCTGAGCCGGGGCCCCTCGGCCCCCCGTCTTCCTGGCTCCAGGAGCGCCCTCCCCTCCCCTTCTTGGAGGCTACAGGCTCCCCTGCAGACCCAGCAGCGGAGGGAGGGCCGGGGTCACGGGGGGGGCAGTGGCGTGCCCAGAAACAGCGGCACGAGCCCCCAGGCCGGCCGCCCCAGTCTCTGACGCTGTTCCTCCCCTCAGCAGCCTGGCGGAGAGCAGCAGCTGTGGCGGCCCCCTGCAGCTGAAGCGTCGCGGCCAGGTACGGCCCGGTGGCACTTGGGGGGCACGTGCGCCCGCCCCCGCGGCTCTGCCTGAGCGTGGCCTCCCTCCGGGAAATGGGCCGGGCCTTGCGGGGGCCCTCGGGCGCCCGCGGCGAAGCGGAGCCTTCCTGCTGGAGGCCAGCCGGGGTGCACGCCGAGCTCTTTCGCCGCCTGCGGCACCCCCAGCCAACCCCCTTGCCTGCTCTCTTGCAGGGAGCTGAGCAGCCGGCTGGTCCGCTCCGGCAAGCCCCGGGCTACGCTGGTAAGTCCAGCCCAGAGCGGGGCCCCTCTGTGCCCGGAACCGGGGGGGGGGGACACCGGCCAGGGGGTGCAGGGGGTGCTCTGCCAGTCTCCCCTCCGCTCTCGGGAGTTGGTGGAAATGGGCAGGGGGCCTGCAGAGAAGCCGCGGCCTCCGGGCCCGGCTGCGAGCCTCTAGGCCCGGCACTTGGCTCCATGTGAGCTCCCCCCAGCCGTTCCTGGCTGAGCCCCCTCCCCCTCCCCTCTGCAGACCCTGCTCACCCCCCGAGCTCCCCCGCGGCCTTCGCTCCCTCCCGCGAGCCGGGCTCCGCGCCAAAGCCGTCCAGCTTCCTTTTCCACTCCTCGTCCCGGCACGATGCCCCATGGAGGGACCCTGGTAAGCGCTGGAGGGAGAACCTCCCACGGACGGGCTCCCCCGGGCCACTGTGCAGGCGGCCAGTGAGCCGTGCGGCCCAGTTCCACACGGCTGGCCCACGGGGTCAGTGGCACCGGGTGCCAGCCTGGCCCTGGGCTGAGAGAAGCGCCCAGCTGGGTCCCCCCTGCCTTGCCTTTTCTCGACAGCTGCCATAATGCCGGTTGTGCGGGGAAACCGAGGCACGCGGGCGCCTCCCTTGCGGAAAGGGTTGCCGGGCGTGCGCGCCCGTTGCCACGAGGTCTGTTTTTCTCCCTGGCCCAGGCAGTCCGCAGGATCGGAACGTTTTGCCCCTTCCCCGGCCCCAGATGCCCGAGAGGGGGCGTTTCAGTGGGCTCCTTTCAGAACGGGGCTTGACGGGGCATGTGCCATCCTCAGGCCTCCCGTGCCCGTTTCTGGGCTCAGAAAGCCGGGGGCGAGGGGGCCTCCGCTCGGGGCTCGCCCGACCTGCAGCTCGCCGGTGGGGAGCCGTCCTCGTTCACTCGTGGAGGAACGGACGGCCGGGACTCACTGCAGCTTCGAGCAAGGGCCACGAAGAGGAGACAGTTAAATTAACATTAAAGCTGGACCGAACTAATAGCGGACTCAGGCCAGGGCGCTGCAAGTCCTCCTTCCGTGCGAACCCTTTTCCTTTCTAGGCTGCCAGGCGGAAGGCCCGGTTCCCACGGGGAGGGAGCCCTGCAGGCAGCCGCTGAGCCCCCACTGTGCCTCCCGAGGCCCCTTCGAATGGCGGGCTCGCCCGGGTGTGCCGGGACCCTCCGGGCGCAGGTGCCAGCCGTCTTGGCCGTGGGCTTGTCCTGGGTTCGGACGAATCGGGGCTCTCTGCTTGCAGGCTCCCTCTCCCCCGGTCTCTGCTCTTCCGAGTGCGGCAGCCCCCTGAAGCCGCCCCCCGAGTCGCAGGCGTGGCAGGAGCAGCGACTCGCAGCCCAGCTGCGGAAGGTATGGGGCCCCTCGCAGACCCTCCCCGGGCAAGCGCGGTCCTGGTGACGGACGCGCCAAGGCAGGTTTCGTGCCGGGAACGTTAGCGAAGCCGCCGGGATCGTGCCTGCCGCTGCCACGCAAGGAGACGGACGGTGCAGCGGCAGATGTGGTTCCGCTCCGGTGGCCCCGTTTGAGGAAGGATGTGGTGGAGCCAGGGAAGGGGCTGGGGGAGGACGGGCTGCTGGGCTGCTCAGCCGCACCGTCTCCTGCCCTTCCCCGCAGGCGGCCAGTCCCTGCTGGCAGGTCGCTGGGGCATATGCGCAGGGGGCCCGGTCCAGGGGGGGAGCTCACGGGGGCACGTGGGAGACCAGAAATCCGGACTGGAATGGTCCCAGAGCCCTCTTTGGCCCAGTGGGGGCACAGGAGGAGGCTCCGAATGGGGGGTTCTTATCCAGGCTATAAGAATATGTGGGGTGGGGTCCGTCGCGCGTCACCACGGGGTGTCTGGGGATTCAGGGGCGTGGCGCGTCTCCGGAGGGGGCACTTTCTCACAGCCGCACCGTGTGACCCGCTTGAATCCTGCACATTTGCACGTCTGTCTGTCTGTCTGTCTGGCTTCGTGTCCTGCCGCCGCCGCCACTGCCAGGGCTCGGGGAGGCCGAGGGCTGCCCCGTGCCGGCCTCCCCCGCCCACCTGGCTCCTGGCTGGAGCCCCCGGCCCGGCCCCTGCGCCGGGCGCCCACCTGCCGCCCTTGCTCTCTCCCGCCAGGCCATCGAGGCCCAGCTGAACATCACGCTGGCCGGGGACCTGGGCGAGGCGCTGGCCGACGGGGTCGTCCTCTGCCAGCTGGCGAACCACCTGTGCCCGCGGGCCGTGCCCTTCATCCACGTTCCCTCGCCTGCCGCGGTGAGCCTTGGGGGGCCGGGCCGGGGGGCGGGCGGCCCGCCCCGCAGGGAGGCCGCCCGCTGACCCGCCGCTCTCCCTTGTCTCCTGCCCAAGCCGAGGCTCAGCGCCGCCAAGCGCCGGGAGAACGTGGAGCGCTTCCTGGGCGCCTGCCGCCGGCTGGGGGTGCCCGAGGTGAGGCGGCTCGCTGCGAGGGGGCGCGGGCGCGGGCGGGGGCGTCTCTCGCGCCCGCCGGCCACGGGGAGGGGGGCGGGGAGGGGAGGGGAGGGGAGGGCCGGGCCGTGCGCGCCCGGACTGGCCTCCCGTTCTCTCCCGCGCAGGTCTCGCTCTGCCGCGCCGCCGACCTGCCGCCGCTGCTGCTGCGAGGCGACGCGCGCGGCCTGCTGCGCCTGCTCGAGGCCCTGCTGCTGCCGCCGCCGCCGCCGCCGCCGCCCCTGCCCGCCGCCCGCGCCGCCGGCCCCCCCGAGCACCTCGCGGGCTTCGGCGTCTTCTATGTCTGCGTCCTGCTGCTGCTCTGCCTCGCCTACCACAAGCTCTGCGGCTGCTGAAGGAGGGCGGGGGCGCCCGGCCCGGCCCGCCCCGTCCCCTCCCGCCGCCCGGCCCGGCCCGGCCCGGCCCTGCCCCAAGTAATTGCCCGCCTGGATCCCGGCGCTGGAACAGCCTCGCCCGCGCCCCGCGGGGCAGCCGCCCGTGCCTCGCCGCGCACGGAAGGCGCGGGGTCGCGGCGCCCCCGCCCCGCTTCTGTGCACTTGAGCAAGCCGCGCCGCACCCCGGCAGGGGCGCCCGCAAGGGAAGGGGGGTCCGCAACCCGGCGGCGAAGCGCCCGGCGCCACTCTGCGCCCGGCGGCCGTCCCGGGAGCGGCTCCCTCGCCCGCGCCGTTGTCGCCCACCCGGGAAGCCTTTGCACAGCGCGCCCCGCGGCGGCGCCCGCCCGCGTCGGACGCCGGAACCGGAGCCCGCTGCTCCCCCGGGCGGCGCTCGAGAGGGGCCGGGGGCAAGCAGAGAGCCGCGCCTGAGCCCGCCGTGCTTACACGTGCCCTTGTCACGCAGCCTCTCCGTGTTACGTCTGCTCTTGCGCACGCGCAGTGTTCAAGGGGTCGGAGCCGCTCGGACGGAATTGCCTTAATGCGGGGGGCGCGAGTCTGCACGCGCCCCGGAGACCGGCCCCCGACGTCCCAGCCCCTTGAGGCTCGTTCTGTCTGCTGCTGCCTTAAAAACATTAAATTATACGTGTATTTTGTACTATGCAGAGAGATTTGGAAATGAAATGATGGGAGGTGCGAACTGTGTCTTTCCGCGCGTGTACACAACTGCAACTGCGTCGCGCTCTATGTACGGGCTGCTTTCCCGGCGCGCCTCCTCCCGCCCCGAGCGGGTCCGCCGGCCGCTTCCGCTCCCCGCACCCGAGCGCGGGCCGGGCCGGGCCGCCGCCGCCGCGCTGACCGCGCCCTCCCGCCCGCAGGCGCTGCTCGGGCCGCCGCACCGCGCCCC